GTATTAATCTGTAAGTCGATTTCCCACTTGTATTGAACACCTGGAATGGTAGTCCTATATATTGACTGTATAAACGATAAATAAATATCTTTAACACGATGTTTACCTATGATCTGTTCGTAATTTGTCTTACACTCATTGACTTTGTGTTTTAAACAACAAGAATTAAAGAACGATTTCTGACCACCTTTGGGGAATTGCGCTTAGTAAAGCAAAATATTTTATAATTCCATCGTGTGTCTTAGCGAGGTGGGGAATAATCTCATTCACGGTTTTAAATCTATTCTTTATGATAATATCTCCCATGGTTTTAAAACTACAATCTATCCATGTTTCGGCGAAAAGAGATTTACCATTTGAGGTAATATATTTATTTTCCCATAACCTTTGTCGCTTGACTTCACAGATGCATTCTGGTTGTGAGACGTGAATGTAAATCGTATGCAAACAATAAGCATATTGTTATAGAATGTAGGCATTATCTTTAAAGAATATGACTAAATAGGTTAACTTTTGTCATGCATATTGTATATTCTACAGGATGCGTATAATATAACGGAATACATTTCCACTTTTCAGTATCTGGGCTTAGAAGTGCTTTATCCATGATAATTTTAAAAAATCGATCATGGAATTAATGTCAGTCATTTTCAAGGCACCAAAATTAAGGTCTTGCACAATTGTGCTTCTTTTATTTTTTCTCTTTTTCGTTTCCATAAAAAACTATATATAATTTTGTTAACTTGTTTAATAATATTATTCGGTATTCCGATAATACTCGCATTGTATACTATTTTGTGCAGAGCTAGTGTTTTGATTATTGTGACTTTACCGAAGAAGGATAAGTTTCTTCTTTCCCATGATTTTAAAGCTTGTGCTAAATTTGAAACCTTTTGTCGTTCCAATTTTTTTCAATACACAATTTTTTTAATTATAGCCAATGAAAATTCCTAGAAATTTTACGGGTTCCCGGACAAAAGTAATTCCGGATGGATTGTTTGTTTTGTTTTCGTTAGAACCAATCCACAAACCATTGGTCTTGTCTTTATTTAATTTCAGACCAGATACAGCACAAAACTGTTTAATTTCCTTGAAAAAGTTAGCTATACTGACCTCATCTTTTGCAAATATTACGGTATCGTCTGCTAATTGGGCTATTTTTACAGTATTTTCCGTTTTTGTTTGCGGAAGTGATGGTAATGCAATGCATTCACATAGGGAATTATTTCTGATATTAATGACCATCAGATCAGCGACTAAAATAAATAGAAAAGCGGAAAGGGGACATCCTTGACGAATCCCGGAATTCATTGAGAGGCCTTCCGATATCCACCCATTATTAATTAAACAATTTTCAGTCTCATTATACATTGTTTCCAACTAATGTATAAAACTATCCCCAAAACCAAAACATTTTAGTGATTTAATCATGAATTGCCTGTCAACTGAGTCGAAAGCTTTTGCGAAATCTATAAAAATTATGGCCCCGATATCGATTAGTCGGATACTTTCACCAGCAAATCTGCCATTAATATATCCTTTTTGGTCATTGTTAATGATTGTGCTAATTACTGACTACATCCTCGTGGCTAGCACGTGAGCTGCAATTTTGTAATCTACGTTAAGTAACGTTATTGGTCTCCAGTTCTAACTTTTCACGATCACATTTTTTATAAAGTAAAGTGATAACACCTTTACGTTGTGATATTGTTAATTTATTATTTTTAAAACACAAATTAAGGGAGTCACACTGCATGTTGCCGATCTGCTCCCAAAAGGTGCAGTAAAATTCTACTGTGATTCCATCTAATCCAGGGCTTTTGTTTAGCCACATTTTAAAAATCGCTTTTTTACATTCGCGATTGTTAATAAACCCTCGCACTACCTCTTTATTTTCGTCAGAAAGTTGGTTAACAGTGCATTTTTGGAAGTATTCGTCAATAGCTGACCCAGATAAATTTTTTATTTTTGTGTTTATAAAAGTTAACTTGTTCTTTCAGGATTTCATCTGCGTCTGATGTATATTTACCATTGCTTTTTTGTAAGGATGTAATATGTTTCTTCTTTGCATTATTTTTTTAAAACCCCCCATAAAGAATTTAGTATTCTTTTCTCCTTCTTCAAACCATTGAAGACGGTTTCTAACTTGTGCCCCTTTTGCTTCGAATGAATATATACGGTCTAATTCTTTCCTTTGGATATTAAGTTTCCATTCTGTTTGCCCATCGTATGTAATGTCTAGTTTATTGGTCAGTTCTTCAACTTCTTTGACTAAGGCTTCTTTTTTTTTCTTCTTTTTTTTCCGACCCATAATTGATTGAGAATTCCTTAATTTTAGCTTTTAAATATTCCCAGAGCAAATCAGGATTAAGATTGTATTCATTTTTTTTAACGTTTTTTATTATTTGTATCATGTGTATAACGTATTCTTCATCATTCAAAAAACTACTATTCATTTTCCAAAAACCAGGACCTCTTTTTTCTAGTGGTCATTCCGAATTCTGAGCGAAATTGCTTGGTGGTCGGTAAAGAGGGAAGGCCTTATGTCACTATGAATTATATCACCATTTTTATGTAGTGCGCTAGACATACAAAAAAATTAAGTTAACTTCTCAAAATAACAGTTTGAGTGTTGAATTGAGTTGAAGGTGTTAGGCAATTTATAGGATGAATAGAGATAGGTGACGCTCCACCATCTGTTCCATGGTACGCTTGTTTCATTGATAACAGCCGATAACAGATGAAAATTGAAATAATTTGACGAATCGATGTTCAAAATCTACGTCACTGATTATATTCATTGGCTTAGTTCGTAGTTGGGAAAAAGGTGGAGACCTTTTACATCAGAGTGTATTAGTACTCTTTACGCCCTCTACATAGGTTCAATAAAGGGGGAATCCCTAATCGAAGCATCCATTTTCACTCAAAATATTGTTGCATTACTGAATGTTACCGTACAATCTTACTTACTTACATAAAGTAAACTAATGAGTCTATATACTTAACACACACACACACACAGTATATTAGCATACCAATAAGGACCTATTGGCAAAATTTATATAATTATTAATAAACCGTAACTGTCATTATACCTTTTTCAGTAATGGAATGTGCCACCTTATGTGGGTAAATAGTAACGCTTTCCAATTTATTTAATATAACTTCCGTAATTGTTTCCTTGTTCTGTTCTACTTGGCCTGTCCATCTCAGCGACATATATATGTAGAAATGAGAAGAAAGGGCGTAATTTTTGTTTTCATCGTAGTATGCCTTATAAGCATTGCTTTGTGTGAAGAAGAAGATGAAGATGATCCAACTAATCCGCACAGAGACCCGTCAAAGTGTGAAGGTAGGCAAGCAAGAGCAAGAGATAAATCAGAGTCTACGCGTACTAGGCCTGGTAGTAGTACTGAGTATTTCAGATCTAAACAAGGCCTAGCCTAGACCTCTAGGCTAGGATATATATATTTTTTCTCAATTCAACAGGTCGCTAGGCTGAGGCAGGAGGGTGCCCTAGTACTTTATTACTACTACTTCGAGCCCTCTTTCTTGTCGTTGTGTGTAACTAGCCAGCCAGAGGAATGCTTGACTGACCAAAGCAAAGCTCCCCTTGGCCTTGCCCACCCAATTCCACGCGATCTCCTCAGATATTGCAAATCTTTCTGAAGACGTGTATGATTGTAATAAAATAAATTTATAAATGTAAATAACTGAAATAATATTAATAATAAAAATAACGAAGTAGAATAAAGTAATCCAGCACCTATATTATGTACCACCTCTTTGTAATAAATATATTTACTGTAGACGGTTATTCTGATCATTGGATAAGTAAATAACAGCCATGTACAGCAGCACAATATTATTCATGTTTAAATGTGTATTGATTTGTTTTTTTCATTGCAGTTTGCAAGTATGTGGTTACTGAATTAGAGGGAAATCTACTAGATACTTCAAAAACACATGAAGTTTTTAAGATTGGACATGAGTTTGATAAGGAGAAGAAGGAAGTCAAGTACACAAAATCGTAAGTAATACTGTATAGACAAGACTAGGAATTTACCAAAGAAAAAAGCTTGTGAAATATGGCATATGACCGGTTGAGCCGCCGACAAGTTGAGCCGCCGGTCATTTCTATGGAACGCCAAGCGCGTCTCTCAGTGAATGTAGTGCGTTAATTGCGGCGTATTTCAATTAACTTATTCGTTATTTGTACTATTTTGTTAAATTATTTAATTAAATTATTATAACACATTTAAATTTATTGTTTATATTCATCTGTCTATTTAAAATCAAATTGGTTTTGCTGAGTATTTGATGAGTCGGCTTGCCGATGTCATCAGTGAATGAACCTCCCGGATACCAGCTACATTATTTTTAATGTGTTTATTTACGTTTGGTTTGCGGCGTATTTCAATTAACTTATTCGTTATTTGTACTATTTTGTTAAATTATTTAATTAAATTATTTATAATATATAAGTATAACAAATAGTACAAAATATAAAATATATAAATTACAAAACCATAGTAAATACTGTATAATAACCTAGGCCTAACACATTTAAATTTATTGTTTATAGTCATCTGTCTATTTAAAAATCAAATTGGTTTTACTAATTTTACTTATTACTGTTTAATTGTTATTATTATTAATTATTTTTGTTTTATCTTCCATGGTTAATTTGCTGAGTATTTGATCAGTCGGCTTGCCGATGTCATCAGTGAATGAACCCCCCGGATACCAGCTACATATTCATCCCACAGTCTTGTCAGTCGTTGATTTGCTCGTAGTTCGTGAAGTAAAAGTTCTGTAATTGAAAATTAGAATTTAAATGTGTTAGGCCAATGTTATTATACAGTATTTACTATGGTTTTGTAATTTATATATATTTCTATTTTTGTACTATTTGTTAAACTTAGGCTATACATAATAAATGATAAGAATGTATGGAGTTTTTTTTTTTTTTACTATCTGGCAAGCCAACTGAGCAAATACTCACAAAATTTTAATTAAAACGATAGAAAGATCAAGTAAATAAATTGAAATACGTCCCAAAAATATTTAATAAATCAGTGCAAAAACCGAGTATTAAATAAATTGAAATAATTGAGTAAATAAACTGAAATACATCCCAAACAACAGTACCAAGAACGAATAAGTTAATTGAAATACGCCGCAATTAACGCACTACATTCACTGAGAGATGTGCTTGGCATTCCATAGAAATGACCGGCGGCTCAACTTGTCGGTGGCTCAACCGGTCATAATCCGTGAAATATCCCCTGAATGTCGTATCATTGGTCTCTACATATTAATTACATATAACCCTTCATGAAACGAAAGAGGAGATTACAAACAAAATGTTCATGTTTCTACCAGACAGGTTCATGATGGCTAGGCAACCTGTCCCTGATTGCTTGGCACCAGCCCAGCTGGCATCAACCCTGGGACACCTTTATCAGGTTCAAGTTCCTTTCGTGGACTGAATTTACACCGTTAAGCATATATGTCCACTTGATGGAAAATGTATAATATAAATCCATGAATAATGTATGAATTAAAATAACAAATACAGCTGACTTGGTTACTTAGGAAAGACTTTCTTTATACCTTTCTTGCCAACATGTTTTGTTAAAGATCGTCAGAGGAGGGTGGGAAACAAATAAAAATAAAATTTTGTTTTCTTATTTAGCTAATAGTTTTGCCATAAACATCCAGGCACAGGCCAAAAATGAAAATAAAATTTTATTGGTGAATGTAAACAGTGCAGTATGGGATGGTTAAATGCTTTATATTTTTATAATTAGGAAGAAATATATCTTATTTTTGGGGATTTCAAGGCAGGGCGAGCATAATCAAAATATAGAAAAATTTCTATTATATGCTCGTGGTGGCAGGTGCGTTAACTGGCCATTTTTTTTTTAAATCACCATTATTGGCGTGCGGCAGGCTCGCTAAAAAAATATGCAGAAAGTCTCGCCTGAAGAACAATTCTGCTATAGAACGTCTTTAATAATTCAATGTTCAACATAAACTTAATTAGAAAGACCTTTCAGATTACTCATCCTGCTATTAATCTTTAATGTTCAAAATGTATTTACCATGTATAGTGTCTCATTATGTGATGTTGTGGTCAGTTGACGACCTCATATTCGTTTCTGAATAAAATGGTCTCTATAATGCACACATATAGAGTAAATATTTATAAAATATTCAAATTAGGTTTTCTGCATAGCAATGTAAACTCAATATAAAAAATAGGTAAATAACAAAAAAAATATATGATCACATGATATAATCATATCAAGCATAGTTCTTCAACAAACTTATCCGATTTCAATTGAAAAAAATTGGCTCTGGGAGGGCGCTCACTATTAAGGCGAGAGCCCTCCCAGATACCTTAACCCTTGTGTCACCACTGGACCAACAAGTATAGATGCAGTATACATTTAAGTTAAATTATAGAAGGGTAATCTGCAAGAATGTAGTACCCGCTGCTTACTTGAACTCGAATTCAACACTGGCCATCAGGCGCAAGCTTGGTGGTCTAGAGGTATGATGCCAGGCTAGTGATCTGGTGATCGTGGGTTCGAGTCCCAGCTGAGAACAACTTGCAATTCAGTACATTTCAACGTCAGGTAGGGAAAAATTACACCTATACAAGAATAAAAAAGTTTCCGCAACCAAATTCTTAAGAAGACCCCCCCCCCCTTGGTAATTCAAACCTAAATACGGTACTGTACTGTACATCTTGTTGGATTGTCAGATAACAGTGCAAATTGATTCTGATGATGTGTTTTTCTTGCAGTTTGGTCAGACTTATTGAGGTGCTAGAGGGTGTATGCGATAGAATAATGAACTATAATATACATGCTGAAAGAGAGTCAAGCCGCAGGTACAACACTACCATGATACATTTTTGTTTGTCGTCGTAAATATCAATGACAGGAATCTACATTAGTTGTACAGTACTGTATTATAGAATAAATAATGAATGTTTTTATTCGTAATTGAAAGAACACTCGCCTAAGTTAAAAGATGAATGGACTGTTCCATTTAACTCAACATTCCTCTTTCAGGTCCTCAAAATCCTCTTTGAATGGAACATTCTGTGTTTCAACTTATAATAATGTCGTAGGCCGGGATTTGAACACAGACACACTAGTACAACGATATGGCTGCTGATCTGTATGTTTCATTATTCTTCAACCAACTTGAATTTCAACAATCAAATCACCAGTCTCAAGTAAAACATAACAAAAAAAAAACCTCTGCAATAAACAAACAACTTATTGCTGTCATGTAAATTTACTTAGTCATGTAAAATCACAACATCAAATAATATTAATAATATCACTATTAATATCACATTAATAATATCATCATAATTCCTAGAGCAATTAGGGCTCTAAATTGTAGGTAAATGTTTCATACTTTTGCACTTTGTTTCTTTGTTTGTGTTTGTTCTGCCTTTTGGAATGTGTTTTTACCACAGAGCAAAACAAATTTCTATGTTCTCCTGAACAATGACAATAAAATATGATTAATTGATTGATTGATTGATAACAACAGTGGTATATAGGCTGCTTTTGAATCTAAGCATCAGGCCTATACTCCAAAATTATATATGCTACTCTTATTCATAGCATTCAAACCACCAACAAATAATATAATTTCAATGTAAACATAAAAAAATAGCTATTATCAAGTATAACTTGGCCATCCTGACTTACCCAACAGAGGTATGTACAGACTATAATAGGCCTTTTTCATTACGTTCGGTGCTTTTATTAACATTACATTCAGTGCTTTGAAACATTACGTTCGGTGCTTTTATCATTACCTTCGGTGCTTTTGCCACACTTATGGATCTTTTATCATTTGGTGCTTTTTAGTTTTATCTTTCGGCCCTTTCATCATTACGTACGGTTCTTTTATCATTCGGTGCTTTCATGACCTTTGACTTCGGGTCAAGAGGAAAAAATCAACAGCTGTGGGAACGAGCCTATTGGAACTTGCGCGCTCCTTCTCTCTTCTTCTCTTTCATTTTTTTTTTCTTTTCTTCTTTCAACTTCTTAGTTTCATTACTGTTACGCTATATTATATTCATGTTTTGAAACACAGGTGGGCACGCATTCTTCATATAATATATATATATATATATACCTGTCTCTTATACACATCTCTATTCATTGTAGCATAGCTCTCAACGAATGTAGTCCTGTAAATAAATGAATAAAGAAATTGTGTAATAAAATGCCTCTGGTGGGACTCGAACCTGTGACCTCTCGCTGTCAAGGCGAGCGTCATAACCATTAGACCACGGAGGCTTCATGGTTAAACAGATTCAAATACCACCAGATACACTCTATTACACAATAAGTATGTATATAATTTAACAGTGTTAATGGCTATCTTGATTTATATTTCGGTGTATGCTATTATTTGTTTCTAGCCGTACTTTTCTCCCCAAGAGATGGGTGTTCTCCCTGTACCCTCCCACTGCACTGGCTCCACCCATGCTTCACGAATTGCCTTTTTCCAACTTGGGACCCCTGCAAATGTGTATCTTTGTTGTAATATAAATGCTAAGTTTTTATTATTTATTTGAGGTATATTTATTAAAAATTTAACATCAAAAACATACATAGCAGCAACAAAGGCTGAATTGCGTATGAATTAAGAAGTAAGTATAAAATATATATTATATAATATTAAAAAGGTACTAAGACAAAATAAAAAGACAAAAAAATAAATACCAATATCAAAATATGAGATAACCACGGAAGGAGCATTTGTAAAACGACCGGACAGTAAAGGGAGGGGGAAATAAATCAGTCAACTGGAGGGGGAAAATTTTGAGTTTAACTTTTATTTATTACCGGTTTTATTTATTACCGGTATTATTATTTGGTTACCGGTAATTAATTAATTAATTAATTAATTACCTTTCTTTTATTTAAATAAGCCTGCTTCTTCATATCTGGAATAAAGAAGAGTCCCCCCTAGTTATTTTTGTTTTCAATACCAGGTCTATAGTGATAATCTTATATTTATATTTGCCCTAATATACCACCAGAATCATGTGGAAAAAACTTTCCCTTTCCCTTTCCCTTTCAAACTTAGGGACAAGAAAATGTAGATCCAGGTCTTCTAATACTGTTTTGATTGATCGAGACATTTTTGTTTTCGTTAGTTATTATTATTTTATCACTAAGATAATCACATGTCGAATATGTTTTGTTACATGCGATTTTCCACTAGGCTCATTCCCACAGCCGTTGATTTTTTCCACTTGACCCGATGTCAAAGGTCATGAAAGCACCGAATGATAAAAGAACCGTACGTAATGATGAAAGGGCCGAAAGGTAAAAGCACCAAATGATAAAAGAGCCGAAGTGCGGCAAAAGCACCGAACGTAATGTTAAAAGGACCGAACGTAATGTTCAAAGCACCAAACTTAATGTAAAAGCACCGAACGTAATGTAAAAAGCACCGAACGTAATGTAAAAAGCACCGAACGTAATGTAAAAGCACCGAACGTAATGTTAAAAGGGCCGAATAGCAAATGCGCCGAACGGAAAAGAGCCACCAAAGGCAGTAACGGCGTTCCATATACAACACCAGACACCCCGTATTCTAAACTTCTAGACATAATTTATCTTTCTTCTAATAAGTTGCATAATGGATAAAACCACATCGTAACTGATTAACAATAATTTTAAAAATATATGATAAACTTTCAATTTCTATGCAGTATCCAAACAATGAAATCATAGGTTATACTTTGAAAGATTCTCAGCCAGCCTACGACGGCCTGGCTGCACCCTAACGCAAGGTGACTTACATTATGATGACAGTTCAACACGAAGTTAGGCTTCGGATGAAGGATGCCATCAAAACAAAACGTCCCTAAATACACATAACCTCATCTAGCCTAACAATATTTACATGAGGTTACTCCTATATAAAAACCGAAAGGTCCACTGATTAATCTCAGATAAGAAAGTATAATACATACTCCAAGTATTGAAATACACGCCATCGTGTTGGGATTCAATATTTCGACATTAATTATGTCATCATCAGGAAACCATGATACATTTTTGTTTGTCGTAAATATCAATGACAGGAATCTACATAAGTGGTACTGTATTAGAGAACAAATAATGAATGTTTTTATTCGTAATTGAAAGAACACTCGCCTAAGTTAAAAGATGGATGGACTGTTCCATTTAAATCAACATTAATTTTTCAGGTCAAAATCCTCTTTGAATGGAACATTATATTCAGTTTACGACAATAATATTCTCTCATTGCATTAATAAACATTAACTATCTGTGTATATATGCTCCTCACAAGAGACTCAGCCTTAAAATCAATTACCTCTGAGAAATAAAATTTCAAAAGCCTGAAGCTCTGTCCACACTGTCGAATTTTCTTTGACAAAAAACTGCTGTATGCCAATATATAGTTACCAACCCTCTGGCATCGTGCATCCCGCATTTCAAAATGATTTTGGATGAAACACGCATTTTGCAGAAACACATATGTGATCAGAAATTTGTCACGCATTTAAAACAAGTCTATGCGTGATAACGAATTATCACAAATTCATGGGAAAATGGAATTAGAAGAAATTGGTTTTAGGCCTATCAAAAATATAAAAACGATCATGCAGTAGCTTGAGTCATTAGGGAGCTTTTGTTTTCTTGTTCGAGAATCAATTTACCGAGAAAATTTCTCTTTCCCGACCAAAACAACCCAACCAACCATGCACTTGGTAGAATCTAGTATTCGCATGCGGTCTTGCGCTTTCATTGTCACAACCAACCGCTGATTATGTGACTGGAACCCGGGCTCCAGGGTTCCACCCCTGACCCCTGGTGCCCCCCACCCCCATCCAATTGGTGTATAGCAGGGGTATAGTCACATATTTCAAATATCTCAGGTTGGTAACTATGCCCATATGTATTCATGATGTGCCTATATAATTATGGTAATGATGTGATGTCATAATGACCATATTTAGGCATGTCACATGTTTTGATCAAATAAAATTTGACAGTCTGAACGGAAGGTATTCAAAAGAAAAGCTTAACAATATAAAGAGAAATACTTGATTGAGGCTTGTGATCTGATGTGGTCGTTTTTGAAACAATGCTTTCTATTGTCCCCTTATCACAATCCTAGAGTAGAAATACAGTATCATTATTTAAATTCTATTCGATGGTGCATCATGAGATTTAATACAATTGACGTTGGGTAGGGCACAACGTCATTCCTCTTTCAGATTGTGTTTTGCCTGTACATAAGCAATAATTAGAATGCATCAATTTCTTGTATCGATCCTTATCATTACAATATTATAAATTCATTTCAGATTAGCTAAAGGTACACCTGAGACGATGCAGACTCTAAAAGATCTGCGAAACAAAGGGGTAAAAGTTGATCTTGGAATACCAGATGACATGTGGGATATACCATCTGCTCCAGTTTACAAAATGAAACAATATGTTAGTATCTGAAATGATATCTTTTGTTTTCTTACCATAATTCATTTTGTGATTAGCCAAAGGTAGCAGTGAGACAATGTTCCAGTTTACAAATAAAAATCATAGCATCATAAAAATATGCTTTTAAATGAGCAATTTTATTCAAATTATGAAACTTTTTGAAATATATATCTTTAATTATAATTTTTATTTTCATCATTAAATTTATTAATGTAATTACTATCATTTTATATTTACTATTGCTTTATTATTATTTTATTATTATTATAATGGCTATCCTCTTGGAATATAGCACTTTAATGTAATTGTAACTCATTTATAATTTACATTATTTTATTATAAAAATTGTTATTACAGTATGATTATTTATATTATTGTTGTAGTTATTTATTATCAGTATGTTGGATGGTGTAACAGCAGACATGCCATAAATCTAAAAAAATTTGGCTAAACATTTTATTATTATCATCATTGTGTTGTAGTGCGACACACTCATAGAGACCTATGAGCAACTGATTGAAGAATGGTACTTTGACGAACCATCCGATAGAAAAGATCTCACCACATTATTGTGCATTGACAACTATCTACCTAAAGGTGATGACGGTAAGGCACTAAATTTAGCTTTCGTACAGCACCACCATATATTTTGAATACTGAACTACTTTATTATAACGCTAAATAATTCTTTATTTGTCCTCATTCTAATCGGAAATTTGCGATTTGGTTGATTTGTTGGTTAATTGAATAATTAAATTCAAATTTGGAGACTTTATATAGAGAAACTCTTATGTTAGATTTAACTTTTACTTTAAATTCTTCAGAATGTCTAAAGGAAGTCTGGACAGGCAAGGAGAAAGTTAATTTTGAGAATAATCAAAAAGAAGAGGATGAAAAGATAGAGAAAGAGAAAAATAACAGTAAAAAGGGGAAAAATAAAAAAAATAGCAAGAAGGAAAAAAAGAAAGGAGACCAAAGGAAAGATAAATCAAAGAAAAGAAAATCCTCAGAAGAATATAAAAGCAATCCATCAACTGAAAAAAGGAAAACAGAACTCTGATAAAAATCAAAGAAAAGGAAAAAAATAGTTTACAGTAACTGTAGGAGATAATCATAACTCAGTTTTTTGGGGTATACTGGTAAATTATTTTTAAAAAGTATACATTTAGCATTCCATTTTTTAGAAAGAAATACCAAGTTTGGGGATTTTATTTGTAGTACTGTATTTATTCAAATGTATGTTTTTATAATTATACAGGTAGTTGAAAGTTGTTTAAAGAATGTTTTTATTCCAAGTGGTTTAATTTGTTAAAAAATAATTTAAAAATACAATCTTACTTGCTTACAGCAAAGCATAGCATGGTACACTACATGCATTCCACACTACATGCAATCAGTTTAAAAATTGAATTTAAAATTCAGTTGATACTACATAGCATACAATTTACTTAGATTATTAGGTACTGTACATCCCCCACCCCCATATAATTAGAATGACAAGATAATTAAAATCACATGTATTGTCGCATTAAAAAAAGTCCCTGTATTCCAGTTATATCACTGCTTCCCTTTGATCAGCCATACAAGTTAAATTAAGTTTAAGTATGTATTTCCCCAAAAGATACTAAAAAACGTAATTTTGTAGGATAATTTCTAAAACTATGGTACTTGCTATGTAATTGATGCCCTATTTTAGATGAATTTAAAGTTATAGAAGTTTGAAACCCACCTATTTAAACAGTATATTATGTTTATTATGGTGTATATTTATTTATTTATGCCATAGATAAGTAGCCCTTATACAGAAACTAAATGTGAGCTATATGCCACCTCCTTTCCAATGCAACATACCAGAATCCTCAGGTTTAGTTTGTAGACATTTTGTAGAAACTATAACAATTTCAATAATATTATTTATTATATCATATTATTTCATAAATGCATATCCAACGTACAAATTTGCATCACTTTATACCTGTCTCTTATACACATCTAGATGTGTATAAGAGACAGAGCAAGGAGAAAGTTAATTTTGAGAATAATCAAAAAGAAGAGGATGAAAAGATAGAGAAAGAGAAAGAGGAGAAAAATAACAGTAAAAAGGGGAAAAATAAAAAAAATAGCAAGAAGGAAAAAAAGAAAGGAGACCAAAGGAAAGATAAATCAAAGAAAAGAAAATCCTCAGAAGAATATAACAGCAATCCATCAACTGAAAAAAGGAAAACAGAACTCTGATAAAAATCAAAGAAAATGAAAAAAATAGTTAACAGTAACTGTAGGAGATAATCATAACTCAGTTTTTTGGGGTATACTAGTAAATTATTTTTAAAAAGTATACATTTAGCATTCCATTTTTTAGAATAAATTACCAAGTTTGGGGATTTTATTTGTAGTATTTATTCAAATGTATGTTTTTATAATTATAATTGAATAGTTGTTTAAAAAATGTTTTTACTCCAAGTGGATTAGTTTGTTAAAAAATAAATAAAAATACAATCTCACCTGCTAACAGCAAAGCATAACATAGTAAAATTAATGTACATTCCACAATACATGTAATATAAGCAGTTTAAAAAAATGAGTTTAAAATGCAGTTGATACTACATAGCATACAATTTAATTAGATTATTAGGTACTCTACATCCCCCCACCCCCATATAATTAGAATGACAAGATAATTAAAATTACATGTATTGTCGCATTAGAAGTCCCTGTATTCCAGTTATATCACTGCTTCCCTTTGATCAGCCATACAAGTTAAATTAAGTTTAAGTATGTATTTTCCCAAAAAGTTACTAAAAAATGTAATTTTGTAGGATAATTTCTGAAACTATGATACTTGCTATGTAATTGATGCCCTATTTTAGATGAATTTAAAGGCTATAGAAGTTTGAAATCCACCTATTCAATCTGTATATTATGTTTATTATGGTATACAGTATATTTATTTATTTATGCATAAAAAAGTAGTCCTTATACTGAACTAAATGTGAGCTATATGCCACCTCCTTTCCAATGCAACATACCAGAATCTTCAGGTTTAGTTTGTAGACATTTTGTAGAAACTATAACAATTTCAATAATATAATTTATTATATCATATTATTTCATAAATGCATATCCAACCTACAAATTTGCATCACTTTATACTGTGCAAAAGCATGCTGCAAAAAGCATGGAATTAAATGGATTAAATCAATAAATTTCAACATTTTATACCAGTATATAGTTTAAGATAAACATTTTAAACAATTTTAATTTTGTTAGTAGGGCCTACATATGGAACAACAGTGCTTGGTTAGTTTTGTGTGAGGGAAAAAATTAGTTTGAAAAAAACAGAAGGGGGTCAGAGCTGTTCCTTCAAATATATGTTTTTCTGTACCAGCCCCTGTGTTTGTAGTATGGGCAATTATGTTAGGCATTCTGTAGTTGGAATATTATTACTTCTATCTTAAGCCCTGGCCAGACTAAAATTTTACTTGACAAAAAACATGTGACATGCCTAAATATGGTCATGATGACATTGACCATATATAGGCACGTCATGACTATATATGGGCATACAAGTTTTTTGTCAAAGAAAATTTGATAATCTGGACAGAGCATCACTTTTTGTTTTTTTCTTGTTTTTGTTATTTCCTTCAGGTTAGATTTATGCCGGGCACTCACTGTGTCGTAAGACAGTCGTACGCAACGGTGTCTGCTGATTGTCGGTAGCCGTCTGAACGGATCGTCATTAAAAACAATCCGTTGCGCACGTGTTGCGTTGCGTTCTTCATTGAATTGCGTCGGCCGACAAGCATCGTGCGCAGTGAGTGAGTGTCCGGCTTTAGTGACCAGTTTAACTAGAGCACCTATGAGTACTGTTCCAGTTGGCCATGTGTCTCAAACTGCTGGAGAACAGTGCAGTGTTATACTGGCTTGTTCTTAATTTGATTCTTTGATATATTGCTTCTGATTAGTTTTAGGATAGCTGTTCGTGGGTTTTCTTTATTTTTTTTTTTTTCATATTCTTGAAGCACTTTGAAATGATTTGTAAGCCGCTATACAAGTCAACTTCCACTTACACGATGCAGAGCAGTCATATCCTTTCCCTCTCCTTATTACCAACCCACCATTTTAAACATGATACATGATGGCAATGTAAATCTGGTAGAAGGGGTTTTTTTTTTAAATGATATCTCACTTTGTATGTTTTTGTTTGAAATAATTTTACAAAGTTGCATAGAACATAGTTCACCAATGCTGCAACTTGAAAGTGTTTATCATTATCTTCAATTGACAATTTACATCACAATGTTTGTTTTTAGAAATAAAAGTAGGCATAAATAAGATACAGTATTTTGTTATGACTTTTATTTAGTATCATGAGTCTGAACAAATATCTAAACATTGGCAAAAGACATCATACCACACATGTTTTAAAAATGTATCATTCGAAACAATACAATAAATTTGTTAAAGCATCCACAAGTTTGTGTATTACCATGATAGCACCATGCGAATACCATAGGATCATCGAAGCAGGCTGAAACCAACTACAGTATTGTACATTTGTAGTACAATTACCATAAAAGTACCATGCAGATATGGTAATACAATGATAGTACCATACACACCAAACAAGTATCATGGAGTACCATGCACAAGGGTGGTACTTTCCTTTAAGTACCATAAACCTTTAGTATTTATATGGTACTTTTGTGGTATTACCATTTCATTAATGGTACATTTATGGTAGTACCATGGTAGTGTATTGTACTTCTATAGTTTAACGTGGTAATTCCCAATTATGTTGGGTGCTTCTGTGGTAATACTATGGTAATACCATGGTAAACATGAATGTACCATGGTTACTATGGTAATACTATAGTAATATCATAGTAATACTATAGTATTTTGTGGTACTTTTTTGTAAGGGTATATACTAACATACCACATGATGACGGTATAGCCGCCTGTGCTCAGTTTCTCGACACGCACAACCCAACGCAAAACACTATGGATATATGCTCTATCATTAACTTTATTTTGAAATACAACTTCACATTTAACGGTCAGCACTACATACAAACTAAAGGAACGGCCATGAGAACGAAGATGGCACCCAGCTATGCTAATCTTCATGGCAGATTTGGAACAGATTGTATCCAGCCATCACTTAAAACCAACATTCTACTCCAGGTATATAGATGATATATTTATCATTTGGGAACATGGACTTGAAGCTCTAAAAGAATTTCAAACGCACGCAAACAGCTAGACTGGGTTCCAGTCCCTAATCTTTGTCTTATCAGTTGAAATGCTTAAGAATATGTCGATTTTGGCACAAATGGCGTTCCATATTACTTATTTGCATGGCGTTCCATAGTATACTTTTCTGGGATTCTCATCAAAAAAGTTTCTCAACATAAACTGACGCTGGTGGCGCTTTCCGAAATGCGCTAATGTACTACGAAAAATCCATAAATTAGACTTGTGGCAAGTCTACTACCACCACCCTAGCATCAATTTCACACTGGAGCACTCAAACAAACAGATTGCATCATTCCTCGACTTATCCATAGCACTGAAAAATGGTGTCATATCCACTTCCATATACTCTAAGCCCACAGACAATCATAGATACTTGGACTTCAATAGTTTCACCCTCTGAAGCTAAAAGAATCCATCATCTATAGCCAATGCCTTCGACTCAAGCGAATATGCTCGGATCACGCTGATTACGAGCATCAACTTTCTTTTTTGACGTCACACTTCCTAAATTGCCGATATCCTCTACGCGTTACAAAGCTTCAACTAAATCACAAGGAGAGCTTCTCATATATATATATAAGGACAAGCAACAGAGTCAACGGGTACCGCTCATACTAGATCACAGTACTAAAACTCAGTCTCTTACCAACGCTATCAAGCAAGATTACAAATCACTATCTAAGGACCCATCGATAGCACCCATCTTCTGTCAACCTCCTGTACTTGCCAGACAACCTCCCAACTTGAAGTCTTACTCACTTGCTCCCAAGTTACCCACGTCACTCTTGCAACAGACCCAAATGCCAACTATGCCGCATAATTACACCTGGTGCTAACTTCAATGTCCCAGGGACCAATCAGACATTAAACCCACCGACTCTAGATTGTAACACATCTAATGTAGTTTATTATTTTGTACTAAATGTAATAACGGAAATTATGTAGGCGAGACCGGATGTAAACTTAGATTGAGACTCAACAACCATAAAAAATCAGTTAGAGATCAGCAAAAGGGCTTCCCTGCATGGCTGACCACTTTAATTCATTGAACCATTCTATTAGTGACTTGCGCCTTTTAATCCTAGGTACCGATTTCAGATCTACTAAGGCTAGAAAATGTGCTGAGATCCGTTGGATCCTCCGTCTTAAATCTCATATTATAAAGGTTTAAACAAAGACTTAGGCTTTATGAGCGAATATTCTTTTTTGAAATAGTTTTTCTACATTTTGCCTGAGATTTATCAGTCTCCCCTATTCATGCTTGTAACTGTCATGCATTTCAGCTGCCCTTTTCTGGCTCGTTGGTAGATTAACTTTATGCTTATACCGTGTACTTGATAATTTATTCCATTCACACATATTATGCTCGTCTTTTTCTATAATCTATATGATGTTTATAGCAATATACTATGTATAGGATTGATTTATTTGACATTTAACGGGGTTTTGCTCCGACTCTATCTAGTCACCTTTATGATTGCTTTGTTTATATGATGCCAATAGTTCTGTATATTTCATTAACGCTGAAGAAGTCCTGAGGACAGGACGAAATATTCGTTTTTCTATTAAATAATATATATTTTATGTTCTGTCACACGTCAACCTCTGTCATTTATTTTCGTACTTGACTCACATGTTATACTTATTGAGAACATACGTGCAGCTCATCATTATTTTGATGCCTACTCTCTCTCTCTCTCTCTCTCCTGTCTCTTATACACATCTAGATGTGTATAAGAGACCATGATTATATTCAATAAAACAGATAGGTGTTTTATTACCAGAATTCATGAACATACTACCTTATCTAACAGTGTAGTTCATAATCACGTTCATACCTGCGATAATTTTCGTTAAATTTCAGGACTCCATAATTTACCGTACCTAACACACTTAATGATGATTCTATAGCTAACTTTAAATCCTTAATTTACTCTAATAATAATATAATTGATAATTCTTCAAATTGGTCCCACTTGGTTATTTAAAGAAGCGCTTGCTATTCACCGGCATGAGCCTTCACTTACTGTGGTCTAAGAGCTTCTAGAGAATTAAAACTGTTTATTTAATTTTGACTACACCCTATGCCATTAGACTAATCACAATCGCTGCTTATTACTATCTTATAGTTCATCAATTGTATTTGCATATCGTAACATGTTTGGTACTTATTTTCACTATGTTTTTTTTTTATTCCTGATGATGACTAAATAAAGTCGAAACGTTGAGCAATATGACCTCACTTTCTCTATTTGGAATCACCTATGTTTTATTTTATTTGAACCTAGTCAGTGCACCTTTTGGTCACATATATACAAATACAGTAAAAGTATATACATATACCGATACATACAAAACACGAGCGTATACATACATGAACACAGTAAGTCTCTGGTTGACGCAATTTACTTTTTACAATTCAGTAATTGCGAGACCTGTTTTCTTTTTTCTTTTTTTTTTCTCTTTTATGGAGTCGTCCCACTTTTATTTATTCCTTCATTTCTTTGAGCATAACTATTGTTTTGTTACTATTGACATATTTATCACTTATTCTAAATAAATAATATTTCCTTCACGTTAAAATTTTACATATCTAAACATTATACAATCAATACAATAAGTTAATTAATCCAGACCTTTCATAAAACAATCAATGCAACAATGCATAATCACTTAACTGTCAAGAAAATGATGATAATAATAATAATAATAATAATAATAATAATAGTAATAATACTAATAATAATACTAATAATAATAATAATAATCATCATCATAATAATTAACATAGTCAACCATACCCAATAGTTTATTTATCAATATTGAGACCATATTATATATATATAATTTTACTTTTGTTTAATGTTTTTTAACTACTGAATATCCATCCAACAAATCAGTCAGTTAATACATCATATATATCCGGTTTGATCCGTTTGTTAAAATTTGTCTCTAACATTTTAAGGTTAGTATTTGACCATTTATTTTTTTGCATTTTCTTTGTTAATTAAAATTTCACATTCAATTAAAGCTTTTAACTCGTTTAGGAACATTTTCCACGGGCATTTTATCTCCAACACTAATCTTTTTAACATTTAACTTTTGTATATGCAGAAGGTAAGCATGGAGACTATTTAACACGTTCTTAATAACTTCCAAGAACGACTTTAGACCACTGAATTTTAACATTGTACTAACATTACACCAACAGAAGCTTACATCTCTACAATTGAATAGTATATGTCGTTCGTTTTCTATAACATTACAGGTTTCACAACTATTACTGGCAGACAGGTTCCATGTGTGTAACCTATTCTTTGTTGGAATTACTCTATGCAAAAGTTTATAGTTATATTAAGCTATGAAAATATAATACATACTCCAAGTATTGAAATACACGCCATCGTGTTGGGATTCAATATTTCGACATTAATTATGTCATCATCAGGAATGACGTCATTCCTGATGATGACATAATTAATGTCGAAATATTGAATCCCAACACGATGGCGTGTATTTCAATACTTGGAGTATGAATTATACTTTCTTACCTGAGATTAATCAGTGGACCTTTCGATATTAAGCTATGTTTTTCAAATGTAACATGTTAGAAACTTTATTTTTCCAACAAAGTTCTCATTTAATTGTATTAATCTGTAAGTCGATTTCCCACTTGTATTGAACACCTGGAATGGTAGTCCTATATATTGACTGTATAAACGATAAATAAATATCTTTAACACGATGTTTACCTATGATCTGTTCGTAATTTGTCTTACACTCATTGACTTTGTGTTTTAAACAACAAGAATTAAATAACGATTTCTGACCACCTTTGGGGAATTGCGCTTAGTAAAGCAAAATATTATATAATTCCATGGTGTGTCTTAGCGAGGTGGGGAATGATCTCATTCACGGTTTTAAATCTATTCTTTATGATAATATCTCCCATGGTTTTAAAATTACAATCTATCCATGTTTCGGCGAAAAGATTTGAGGTAATATATTTATTTTCCCATAACCTTTGTCGCTTGACTTCACAGATGCATTCTGGTTGTGAGACGTGAATGTCATTAAATCGTATGCAAGCAATAAGCATATTGTTATTGAATGTAGGCATTATGTTTAAAGAATATGACTAAATAGGTTAACTTTTGTCATGCATATTGTATATTCTACAGGAATGCGTATAATATAACGGAATACATTTCCACGTTTCAGTATCTGGGCTTAGAAGTCGCTTTATCCATGATAATTTAAAAAAATCGATCATGGAATTGATGTCAGTCATTTTCAAGCCACCAGAATTAAGGTCTTGCACAATTGTGCTTCTTTTATTTTTTCTCTTTTTCGTTTCCATAAAAAACTATATATAATTTTGTTAACTTGTTTAATAATATTATTCTGTATGTCGATAATACTCGCATTGTATACTATTTTTGTGCAGAGCTAGTGTTTTGATTATTGTGACTTTACCGAAGAAGGATAAGTTTCTTCTTTCCCATGATTTTAAAGCTTGTGCTAAATTTGAAACCTTTTGTCGTTCCAATTTTTTTCAATACACAATTTTTTTAATTATAGCCAATGAAAATCCAAGAAATTTTACGGGTTCCCGGACAAAAGTAATTCCGGATGGATTGTTTGTTTTGTTTTCGTTAGAACAAATCCACAAACCATTGGTCTTGTCTTTATTTAATTTCAGACCAGATACAGCAGAAAACTGTTTAATTTCCTTGAAAAAATTAGCTATACTGACCTCATCTTTTGTAAATATTACAGTCCCCAAAACCAAAACATTTTAGTGATTTAATTATGAATTGCCTGTCAACTGATTCGAAAGCTTTTGCGAAATCTATAAAAATTATGGCCCCGATATCGATTAGTCGGATACTTTCACCAGCAAATCTGCCATTAATATATCCTTTTTGGTCATTGTTAATGGTTGTGCTAATTACTGACTACATCCTCGTGGCTAGCACGTGAGCTGCAATTTTGTAATCTACGTTAAGTAACGTTATTGGTCTCCAGTTTTCTAACTTTTCACGATCACCTTTTTTTAAAGTAAAGTGATAACTCCTTTACGTTGTGATATTGTTAATTTATTATTTTTAAAACAAAAATTAAGGGAGTCACACTGCATGTTGCCGATCTGCTCCCAAAAGGTGCGGTAAAATTCTACTGTGATTCCATCTAATCCAGGGCTTTTGTTTAGCCGCATTTTAAAAATCGCATTTTTACATTCGCGATTGTTAATAAACCCTCGCACTACTTTTTTATTTTCGTCAGAAAGTTAGTTAACAGTGCATTTTGGAAGTATTCGTCAATAGCTGACCCAGATAAATTTTTATTTTTGTATAAGTGTTTATAAAAGTTAACTTGTTCTTTCAGGATTTCATCTGTGTCTGATGTATATTTACCATTGCTTTTTTGTAAGGATGTAATATGTTTCTTTTTAGCATTATTTTTTTTAAACCCATAAAGAATTTAGTATTCTTTTCTCCAACTTCAAACCATTGAAGACGGCTTCTAACTTGTGCCTCTTTTGCTTCGAATGAATATATATGGTCTAATTCTTTCCTTTTGATATTAAGTTTCAATTCTGTTTGCCCATCGATGTAATGTCTAGTTTATTGGTCAGTTCTTCAACTTCTTTGACTAAGGCTTCTTTTTCTTTTTTTTTTCTTCTTTTTTTTTTCCGACCCATAATTGATTGAGAATTCCTTAATTTTAACTTTTAAATATTCCCAGAGCAAATCAGGATTAAGATTGTATTAATTTTTTTTACGTTTTTTTATTATTTGTATCATGTGTATAACGTATTCTTCATCATTCAAAAAACTACTATTCATTTTCCAAAAACCAGGACCTCTTTTTTCTAGTGGTCATTCCGAATTCTGAGCGAAATTGCTTGGTGGTCGGTAAAGAGGGAAGGCCTTATGTCACTATGAATTATATCACCATTTTTATGTAGTGCGCTAGATATACACCTGTTTTCTTTGAATATATATATATATATATATATATATATATCAAAATGTGTGTAAGGATTTAGGGAATATAAACCTGTGTTAGTTTCTCAAAACATTACAGTTGCTATTTCGCCGACAGCAGAAGTTTCACATACAAAAAAAATTAAGGTAACTTCTCAAAATAACAATTTGAGTGTTGAATTGAGTTGAAGGTATTTATATGTTTATGCAATTTATAGGATGAATAGAGATAGGTCCACTATCCTGTTCAATGGTACGCTTGTTTCTTTGATAACAGCCGATAACAGATGAGAATTGAAATAATTTGACGAATCAATGTTCAAAATCTACGTCACTGATTATATTCATTGGCTTAGTTCGTAGTTGGGAAAAAGACTTTTTACATCAGAGTGGATTAGTACTCTTTACGCCCTCTACATAGGTTCAATAAAGGGGGAATCCCTAATCGAAGCATCCATTTTCACTCAAAATATTGTTGCATTATTGAATGTTACCGTACAATCTTACTTACTTACATAATGTAAACTAATGAGTCTATATACTAACACACACACGCAGAGTATATTAGCATATCAATAAGGACCTATTGGCAAAATTTAAATGATTATTAATAAACCGTAACTGTCATTATACCTTGTTCAGTAATAGAATGTGCCACCTTATGTGCGTAAATAGTAATGCTTCCCACTTTATTTAATATATAACTTCCGTAATTGTTTCCTTGTTCTGGCCTGTCCATCTCAGCGACATATATATGTAGAAATGAGAAGAAAGGGTGTAATTTTTGTTTTCATCGTAATATGCCTTATAAGCATTGCTTTGTGTGAAGAAGAAGATGAAGATGATCCAACAAATCCTCACAGAGACCCGTCAAAGTGTGAAGGTAGGCAAGCAAGAGCAAGAGATATCAGAGTCTACGCGTACTAGGCCTGGTAGTAGTACTGAGTAGTTCAGATCTAAACAAGGCCTAGCCTAGACTTCTAGGCTAGGATATATTATTGTATTTTTTCTCAATTCAACAGGTCGCTAGGCTGAGGCAGGAGGGTGCCCTAGTACTTTATTACATACTTCGAGCCCTCTTTCTTGTCGTTGTGTGTAACTAGCCAGCTTGGCTAGGAATGCTTGACTGACCAAAGCTCCCTTTACCCACCCAATTCCACGCGATCTCCTCAGATATTGCAAATCTTTCTGAAGACGTGTATGACTGTAATAAAATTAATTTATAAATATAAATAACTGAAATAATATTATATAGGTGTAATTTGTACCCTACCTGACGTGGAAATGTACCGAATACTCAATACATTTGAAAACTGCGAAAAAAATCGCAAGTTGTTCTCGGGTGGGACTCGAACACACGATCTCCAGATCACTAGCCTGGCATCATACCTCTAGACCTCCGAGCTTGCGCCTGATGGCCAGGGTTGAATTCGAGTCCAAGTAAGCAGCGGGTACTGCAGTGTTGATAATAGTTGTTATTGTCGTGATGGAATAATAGACAATAACTGGATTTGCGTATAATATTAATAATAAAAATAACGAAGTAGAATAAAGTAATCCAGCACCTATATTATGTACCACCTCTTTGTAATAAATATATTTACTGTAGATGCTTATTCTGATCATTGGATAAGTAAATAGCAGCCATGTACAGCAGCACAATATTATTCATGTTTAAATGTGTATTGATTTGTTTTTTCATTGCAGTTTGCAAGTATGTGGTTACTGAATTAGAGGGAAATCTACTAGATACTTCAAAAACACATGAAGTTTTTAAGATTGGACATGAGTTTGATAAGGAGAAGAAGGAAGTCAAGTACACAAAATCGTAAGTAATACTGTATAAACAAGACATAGGGATTTACCAAAGAAAAAAGCTTGTGAAATATCCCCTGAATGTCCTATCATTGGTCTCTACATATTAATTACATATAACCCTTCATGAAACGAAAGAGGAGATTACAAACAAAACGTTCATGTTTCTACCAGACAGGTTCACGATGGCTAGGCAACCTGTCCCTGATTGCTTGGCACTAGCCCAGCTGGCACCATCCCTGGGACACCTTTGTCAGGTTTAAGTTCCTTTCGTGGACTGAATTTACACAGTTAAGCATATATGTCCACTTGATGGAAAATGTATAATATAAAGCCATGAATAATGTATGAATTAAAATAACAAATACAGCTGACTTGGTTACTTAAGAAAGACTTTCTTTTATACCTTTCTTGCCGACATATGTTTTGTTAAAGATTGTCAGAGGAGGGTGGGAAAAAAATAAAAATAAAATTTTGTTTTCTTATTTAGCAAATAGTTTTGCCAAAAACATCCAGGCACAGGCCAAAAATGAAAATAAAATTTTATTGGTGAATGTAAACAATGCAGTATGGGATGGTTAAATGCTTTATATTTTTATAATTAGGAAGAAATATATCTTATTTTTGGGGATTTCAAGGCAGCGGCGAGCATACTCAAAATATAGAAAAATTTCTATTATATATTCGTGGTGGCAGGTGCGTTAATTGGCCATTTTTTTAAAAAATCACCATCATTGGCGTGCGGCGGCTCGCTAAACAAGATGCAAAAAGTCTCGTCTGAAGAACAATTCTGCTATAGAAAGTCTTTAATAATTCAATGTTCAACATAAACTTAATTAGAAATAGAAAGACCTTTCAGATTACTCATCCTGCTATTAATCTTTAATGTTCAAAATGTATTTACCATGTATAGTGTCTCATTATGTGATGTTGTGGTCAGTTGATGACCTCATATTCGTTTCTGAATAAAATGGTCTCTATAATGCACACATATAGAGTAAATATTTATAAAATATTCAAATTAGGTTTTCTGCATAGCAATGTAAACTCAATATAAAAAATAGGTAAAAAAAAAAATATGATCACATGATATAATCATATCAAGCATAGTTCTTCAACAAACTTATCCGATTTCAATTGAAAAAATTGGCTCTGGGAGGGCGCTCACTATTAAGGCGAGAGCCCTCCCAGATACCTTAACCCTTGTGTCACCACTGGACCAACAAGTATAGATGCAGTATACATTTAAGTTTAATTATGGAAGAGTAATCTGCAAGAATGTAGTACCCGCTGCTTACTTCAACCCTAGCCATCAGGTGCAAGCTTGGTGGTCTAGAGGTATGATGCCAGGCTAGTGATCTGGAGATCGTGGGTTCGAGTCCCAGCTGAGAACAACTTGCGATTTTTTTCGCAATTGTTTTTAAACGTACTGAGTATTCAGTACATTTCAACGTAAGGTAGGGAAAAATTACACCTATACAAGAATAAAAAAGTTTCCGGGGCCAAATTCTTAAGAAGAACCCCCCCCCCCTTGGTAATTCAAACCTGAATACGGTACTGTACTGTACATCTTGTTGGATTGTCAGATAACAGTGCAAATTGATTCTGATGATGTGTTTTTCTTGCAGTTTGGTCAGACTTATTGAGGTGCTAGAGGGTGTATGCGATAGAATAATGAACTATAATATACATGCTGAAAGAGAGTCAAGCCGCAGGTACAACACTACCATGATACATTTTTGTTTGTCGTAAATATCAATGACAGGAATCTACATAAGTGGTACTGTATTAGAGAACAAATAATGAATGTTTTTATTCGTAATTGAAAGAACACTCGCCTAAGTTAAAAGATGGATGGACTGTTCCATTTAAATCAACATTAATTTTTCAGGTCAAAATCCTCTTTGAATGGAACATTCTGTGTTTCAACTTATAATAATATTCTCTCATTGCATTAATAAACATTAACTATCTGTGTATATATGCTCCTCACAAGAGACTCAGCCTTAAAATCAATTATCCTCTGAGAAATAAAATTTCAAAAGCCTGAAGCTCTGTCCACACTATCGAATTTTCTTTGACAAAAAACTGCTGAATGCCAATATATAGTTACCAACCCTCTGGCATCGTGCGTCCCGCATTTCAAAATGATTTTGGATGAAACACGCATTTTGCAGAAACACATATGTGATCAGAAATTTGTCACGCATTTAAAACAAGTCTATGCGTGATAACGAATTATCACAAATTCATGGGAAAATGTATTCAAAATTAGAAGAAATTGGTTTTATCAAAAATATAAAAACGGTCATGCAGTAGCTTGAGTCATTAGGGAGCTTTTGTTTTCTTGTTCGAGAATCAATTTACTGAGAAAATTTCTCTTTCCCGACCAAAACAACCCAACCAACCATGCACTTTGTAGAATCTAGTATTCGCACGCGGTCTTGCGCTTTCATTGTCACAACCAACCGCTGATTATGTGACTGGAACCCGGGCTCCAGGGTTCCGCCCCTGACCCCTGGTGCCCCCCACCCCCATCCAACTGATGTAGTCACGTATTTGAAATCTCTCATGTTGGTAACTATGCCCATATGTATTCATGATGTGCTTATATAATTATGGTAATGATATGATGTCATAATGACCATATTTAGACATATCAAATGTTTTGATCAAATAAAATTTGACAGTCTGGACAGTAACGTATTCAAAGTAAAAAAAGTTTAACAATATAAAGAGAAATACTTGATTGAGGCTTGTGATCTGATGTGGTCGTTTTTGAAACAATGCTTTCTATTGTCCCCTTATCACAATCCTAGAGTAGAAATACAGTATTATTTAAATTCTATTCGATGATGCATCAGTAGATTTAATACGAATGACGTTGTTTAGGGCACAACATCATTCCTCTTTCAAATTGTGTTTTGCCTGTACATAGGCAATGTATTGTAGAATGCATCAATTTCTTGTTTCGATCCTTATCATCATTACAATATTATAAATTCATTTCAGATTAGCTAAAGGTACAAGTGAGACGATGCAGACTCTAAAAGATCTGCGAAACAAAGGGGTCAAAGTTGATCTTGGAATACCAGATGATATGTGGGATATACCATCTGCTCCAGTTTACAAAATGAAACAATATGTTAGTATCTGAAATGATATCTTTTGCTTTCCTTAACATAATTAATTTTGTGATTAGCCAAAGGTAGCAGTGAGACAAAGTTCCAGTTTACAAATAAAAATCATAGCATCATAAAAATATGCTTTTAAATGAGCAATTTTATTCAAATTATGAAACCTTTTAAAATATATATCTTTAATTATAATTTATATTTTCATCATTACATTTCTTGGTAATTACCATATATTTACTATTACTTTATTATTATTTTATTATTATTATTATAATGGCTATCCTCTTGAAATAAAGCATTTTAATGTAATTGTAACTCATTTATAATTTACATTATTTTATTATAAAAATTGTTATTACAGTATGATTATTTATATTATTGTTGTAGTTATTATTATCAGTATGTTGGATGGTGTAACAGCAGACATGCAATAAATCTAAAAAAAATTTGGCTAGACCTAATTCTTTTATTATAATCATCATTGTGTTGTAGTGTGACACACTCATAGAGACCTATGAGCAACTGATTGAAGAATGGTACTTTGACGAACCATCCGATAGAAAAGATCTCACCACATTATTGTGCATTGACAACTATCTACCTAAAGGTGATGACGGTAAGGCACTGAATTTAGCTTTCGTACAGCACCACCATATATTTTGAATACTGAACTACTGTATTATAACGCTAAATAAAAATTCTTTATTTGTCCTCATTCTAATCGGAAATTAGCGCTGGGCCCCTGTGGACCCATGTCAGCCGCAGTGTAGCGCCACCCGGCTTAGCTACAAACTTATAATGGACACATTCAGATACAAAGATTAACCTGCCTAAATCTCAATATGAGGGTTATTCAAGGAGCCAAGCGATCAGAGTTTTATAAATTAAAATCTCTTTATCCAAATGATTCACGTTTGATTTGACAATTTGTTGGCTGTTGGAGGTACCCATTGGCAACCCTGTATCTTGTAAGAATTAGGATCAGCATATATCTCTCATACTAGATACATTCAATCTCAATATTTATTTATTTGGTTGATTTGTTGGTTAATTGAATAATTAAATTCAAATTCGGAGACTTTATATAGAGAAACTATTATGGTAAATTTAACTTTTACTTTAAATTCTTCAGAATGTCTAGAGGAAGTCTGGACTGGCAAGGAGAAAGTTAATTTTGAGAATAATCAAAAAGAAGAGGATGAAAAGATAGAGAAAGAGAAAGAGGAGAAAAATAACAGTAAAAAGGGAAAAAATAAAAAAAATAGCAAGAAGGAAAAAAAGAAAGGAGACCAAAGGAAAGATAAATCAAAGAAAAGAAAATCCACAGAAGAATATAAAAGCAATCCATCAACTGAAAAAAGGAAAACAGAACTCTGATAAAAATCAAAGAAAAGGAAAAAAATAGTTAAACAGTAACTGTAGGACATAATCATAACTCAGTTTTTTTGGGTATACCAGTAAATTATTTTTAAAAAGTATACATTTAGCATTCCATTTTTTAGAATGAAATACCAAGTTTGGGGATTTTATTTGTAGTATTTATTCAAATGTGTGTTTTTATAATTATAGTTGAATAGTTGTTTAAAAAATGTTTTTACTCCAAGTGGATTAGTTTGTTAAAAAATAACTAAAAATACAATCTCACCTGCTTACAGCAAAGCATAACATAGTAAAATTAATGTACATTCCACACTACATGTAATATAAGCAGTTTTAAAAAATGAGTTTAAAATTCAGTTGATACAAATGAGTTTAAAATTCAGTTGATACTACATAGCATACAATTTAATTAGATTATTAGGTACTGTACATCCCCCACCCCCATATAATTAGAATGACAAGATAATTAAAATCACATGTATTGTCGCATTAATAGTCCCTGTATTCCAGTTATATCACTGCTTCTCTTTGATCAGCCATACAAGTTAAATTAAGTTTACTAAAAAAGTTACTAAAAAATGTAATTTTGTAGGATAATTTCTGAAACTATGATACTTGCTATGTAATTGATGCCCTATTTTAGATGAATTTAAAGGTTATAGAAGTTTGAAACCCACCTATTCAAACAGTATATTATGTTTATTATGGTATACAGTATATTTATTTATTTATGCATAAAAAAGTAGTCCTTATACAGAACTAAATGTGAGCTATATGCCACCTCCTTTCCAATGCAACATACCAGAATCTTCAGGTTTAGTTTGTAGACATTTTGTAGAAATGATAAATAAATGAATATCCAACGTACAAATTTGCATCACTTTATACTGTGCAAAAGCTTGCTGCGAAAAGCATGGAATTAAATGGATTAAAACAATAAATTTCAACATTTTCTACCAGTAGTTTAAGGTATACGTTTTAAACAATTTTAATTTTGTTTCTTTAGTAGGGCCTACATACGAAACAACAGTGCTTGGTTAGTTGTGTGTGAGGGAAAAATTTATTTTTAAAAAAATACAGAAGGGGGTCAGAGCTGTTCTTTCAAATATATGTTTTTCTGTACCAGCCCCTGTGTTTGTAGTATGGGCAATGATGTTAGGCATTCTGTAGTTGGAATATTATTACTTCTATCTTAAGCCCTGGCCAGACTATAAAATTTTACTTGACAAAAAACATGTGACATGCCTAAATATGGTCATGATGACATTGACCATATATAGGCACGTCATGACTATATATGGGCATACAACAGTTTTTTGTCAAAGAAAATTTGATAATCTGGACAGAGCATCACTTTTTGTTTTTTTCTTGTTTTTGTTACTTCCTTCAGGTTAGATTTTTGCCGGGCACTCACTGTGTCGTAAGACAGTCGTACGCAACGCCGTCTGCTGATCGTCGGTAGCAGTTTGAACGGATCGTCATTAAAAACAATCCGTTGCGCACGTTTTGCGTTGCGTTCTTCATTGAATCGCGTCGGCCGACAAGCATCGTGCGCAGTGAGTGAGTGTCCGGCTTTAGTGACCAGTTTAACTAGAGCACCTATGAGTACTGTTCCAGCTGGCCATGTGTCTCAAACTGCTGGAGAACAGTGCAGTGTTATACTGGTTTGTTCTTAATTTGATTCTTTGATATATTGCTTCTGATTAGTTTTAGGATAGCTGTTCGTGGTTTTCTTTATTTTTTTTTTTTTCATATTCTTGAAGCACTTTGAAATGATTTGTAAGCCGCTATACAAGTCAACTTCCACTTACACGATGCAGAGCAGTCATATCCTTTCCCTCTCCTTATTACCAACCCACCATTTTAAACATGATACATGATGGCAATGTAAATCTGGTAAAAGGGGTTTTTTTTAAATGATATCTCACTTTGTATGTTTTTGTTTGAAATAATTTTACAAAGTTGCATAGAACATAGTTCACCAATGCTGCAACTTGAAAGTGTTTATCATTATCTTCAATTGACAATTTACATCACAATGTTTGTTTTTAGAAATAAAAGTAGGCATAAATAAGATACAGTATTTTGTTATTACTTTTATTTAGTATCATGAGTCTGAACAAATATCTAAACATTGGCAAAAGACATCATACCACATATGTTTTAAAAATGTATCATTTTGATACAGCTGTAGTATAATAAGTTTCATATTTCAATGGATGAGGGTGCGGGACTCAGAAAAACATACCCCTGCCTTTTCCAGTACATGGTAATTACCTTTACACCTATAATGTTTAATGTCATTTTCTCAGCTGTCAGAACTTTCTCCTGAGGAATTCAAGAGTCCTTCTTTTTTCAATATGCCAGGTGAGCTATAAAACATATAATAGCACTGTTCACACTATGACGTTATATGTGACCTGCGAATATGAAGTCACCATGCCCATATATAGGAATCATTCACAGAAATTTGTCACCAAAAAACTTCTTTGTGTGGACATAAGGCAAGTGTAATAATTTTAGGGAAAGAAATTCAAGTTTTGTTCTCGCATATAAACTTTGCAATCATCAAGTTCCTAAATTTCTGTTTTGACAAAACAAATAAAATCAACAGAAATACACCTAGCACCATAGTAAAAGGGAATGTAATAGCAATACAGAAAGTAAAATGCAATTTTTTTCGTAGATGTGTTGTAACCCTCAAACCAAAAGTGTCCTATCTTTAAAACCACTGAAGAAAGAATTTACCTGTGATGGTGAAGGAATGCATCACTAAGCCACACCTGGGACCCACTTCTCTGTCACCATTTAACACATAACAGTAAAAATTGGAAATTTCATACTAGAACCACATTTTAAAGGAAGCCTGACCCTGACCCCATTATTATCCAAAAAAACTTAATATTCCAGATAGAAGACATACATGTAATATACTGCACCTATGAATGAAAACAGTTATTGTATTGGATAATTGGAAGCAGTTTGGCACAGTGGGAACGGTTTAGTTTTTCAAACAGGAGGGTTTCATTCCCTCACTGTGCATTTTGCTTGTCCTATTGAGCAAGGCACATTATTTGCATTGGTTCTCTCCGCCAAAGAGTATAAAATGGGTACTTGGTCAGGTTGCTGTTGCTCCAGTGCGGCAGTAACACTTAATCGTAATTGCAAGGAAAAGCGTAATACAAGCAACCTAGTATTTACTACTAATCATTGTTGTGGCCTCCGTCGCCATCATCGTCGTCATTGTCACCATCATCATCATCATCGAGACCTTTAAATTGTTCAGGCTGGTACAATATTTTTGAGTACCTTTGCAAGGTTTGGTGTTGCAAGCTGAAGTGGATTCTTCTCCTCCTAATAATATTAATAAAACCAAAAATACAGAAATGTATCGATATCTGTATACTGTAGATGCATTACATGAAATGGCTGTAAATTAATTATGAAATTTAAAAAAAGAAGCTATATCAGACAGATGGAAAAACACTAAGAATAGGGATGAATGAGCATATGACCTGTCGCACATCTACACATTTCTACACCAAACCCAGACCCAGAAGATGAGGAGACCAGGTGGATGATTTGCGCAAAGTGCACTCCATCATTACATTCATTTTTTGCTTGTAACCTGTACAGTACTACAATTTAGCTTTGCTACAAAGTACATGATGGCTTTTACACTTATTTTAGTACTAGTAGTAAGAAATGATAATTGAAAAATAATGTATAAATGATGATAGCAATAATGATGATAGCAATAATGATGATAATAATAATAATGATAATAATAATAATAATAATAATAACTGTAGAAGCGGTTGGGGCATCAGTTGTGGATTTGAAATTCTCGCTGTGCAAATCGCTTATGTTCTTGGGCAAGGCACTTTATCTACGGTTGGTTGCCTCTCTCCACCCAGGAGTGCAAGTGGGTACCTGGTAGGTTCCAATACATCTGCGCTAATTACTAGCTGCAATATTATGGAATAATAATATAATTTAATTTAATAATTTAATTTGGTGTTCAGTATGTGTTCGATATGTGTTTGATCCAATGACTGGGGTAGTAATGTGAAGCGCTTAGAGGCTTTGTGCATGAAGCGCTATACAAGAACAACATATTATTATTATTATAATAATAATAACAATAGCAGTAATAGTAATAATAATAATAACAATATATAGTCTCAAAGCAATGTTTAGGTCTACTGTGCATGCATTCTTTTTCAAATGTCTTAAACCTTATCATGAATATATTTTTATATTTCTCGATTGCTTTGATTGTAATTTTACCTTGCTGTTGTGTTTGAAATAAAAAATGAATGAATGAATTAATTAATGAATGAATTCACAATATTTACATACACACAAAGTTTAAAGGAATTTTATTGTCAATAAAAATATTATTTACAGTAAGATTCTATTCAAATTTAATAAAATTCAAGGGAATGACAACTAAAAAAAAAAAAAAAAAGAAATAAAATAAAAACAATAAATACCTTAATACAAAAAATAAATTTTTTTAGAAAATTGCAGTTTAAATATCATTATATCAAATTTATAACTTTACTTTATAAAAATATGTACAGAATATTCCAAAGTAAGTTTAAATTGCAGGTTAAATAGAGTATCATCTGCTCAGTATAATAACACGAAGCAGATTGTGATGTGAGTAGCATGAAAATGTGTATTATTACAATCTCACCTTATTTTGTGATGTCAAATCTGCTCCACTTTTTACAAGATAGATGGCCTCCTCAGTCCTGTCCTCTTCACAAGCTAAGTGTCTACAATAACAAATACATAAAACATATTCAGTATTAATAAATATCATAAAGCAAGTAAAATGATAAACTCGCTCTGCTCACTGTAGTTTCATAGTAAAAGCATTTATTTAAATTTTGAAATTACAACGTTTGTGATAGGGCCACCATTACAAATCACACACATTTGTCATAGCTTGTGGACACACTTTCGGTTTTGGGATGTGAAAGTTATGAGTTATTAATAACACTAACAAGTACATAAATTAACCGCAATATATATTGCTGAACCTCTCTCTCAGTTATTCAATTTTTTACTGTCTACTGGTACTATACCTTTTGACTGGAAGGAGGCCAACATGATTCCGATTCATAAATCTGGTGGAATTGACGACATTACCAATTACCGTCCGATCTCACTGTGTTCTAGTTACTAGAGAAGGTTGTTAATAAGCACCTTTTAAGGCATCAGGAAGGTCCAGTGTTACGGTACTTGCCAATATTACTTACCACTGGTCTAAGCTTCTTGATGCTCAAGCACCTTCTCCAGTCGATGTTATATTTTTGTACTGGAGTAAGGCTTTCGACCGTATTAGTCATCAAATCCTTTTAGAAAAATCACATAAATATGGTGTATGTGGTCCTTTAATTAATTGGTTCCATAGTTATCTTCATAACAGATCGCAGGGAGTTGTTTTTCGGGGGGGTCAAATCTGATTCATGTGTTGTGCGTTCTGGGGTTCCGCAAGACTCTGTGCTGGGTCCCATCTTGATTAATCTGTTTGTTTTTGACCTTCCCAATGTGGTTTTATCTAATATTTACTTATATGCTGATGATACAATTATCTATCAATCTATAAAAAAAAATTGGTGACTCTGGACCTGGATTATTCTTAAATGGAGTATAGATAATAAAATGAGTATAGATAATAAAATGAAACTTAATGCTTCTAAATGCTCTACTATGAGAATAAGCAGGTCACCTATTCATGCAGCTAATTTGTCTATGTACACTATTGATGGCATTTTTATCTAATGTCAGCAGTTACAAATACCTTGGGATCCTGGTCAATAGTAAACTTGACTGGGCTCCACATATTGCTGTCACTAAGTTAAAAGCTTCCTGACTTTTGTTCATTAAGAAATAGACTATTGTTTCCTTTGCTGCTTAATGCTTATATAATCAGTACACAGCCATTTCTCTTCCTTTTTTAAATATTATTAACCTCTGTCACTATGACCACCTTAAATTTATACATCAAGATAACCGTATTGATTGTCTTTAATTTCACACTTTCAACCACTTTCAATACCAGGGTATGGGACTCACTTCCTACTGACCTCCAAAATTAACTTAGCATCAGCATACAGTACTTAATTTTCTCGAGAAGCTTAAAATCCATGTGCATTCGTAAGTGAGATCGGACGGTAGCTTGTTGCAATTTTTCTTTTCTTTTCAATGTGATTTTGATTGTCCCTGCTGTTTTTTTCCTTGTTTCTTTTTTTGTTTGTTTTTTATGTTACTGCCCTTGTCGGAGGAAAAAAACTGTCTAGAGCAATTAAGTTGCTTTTTGTTTATCCTGTCACCGACAAGGGTGTCGTCTTGTCTTTTTTGTCCTTTTGTATTGTTGTTTGAATTGGCGAAATAAATGAAATGAAAAAAATAAATAAATAAAATAAACTAGTACAGGTGATTCAAGGATTATAGCACACACCTTTGCTACATTGCATCCTTGTGAATGTGCATCTGTTTAAAATTAGTTTGCACACCATGTAATATCCTGTAACACTTCCTGAGCAACGATATGTGCACATGCTCAAGAGATGCAGCTCCTTTTCTCTTATGCTTTACCACTGGTGGCGCCAGTGGGGGATTTTTTTTCCTGTCAGACAGGCCCGGACCCCAGCTGACCGACAAGGTCGTCAGATCAAGAATAGTATTAAGTTGCCTACCCAAATTTAATTTATTTTGATTTCCAATCCAAAATATTGTGGTCTAAAAGCACAATTTGAGCCATACTAAGCCATAAAATCTCTCCTCGTAAAACCCTACCAGGGAATTTTTATTCTGGGACCCTGACCAAGGCTTTACTTGGCCCCTTGGTTCAGACCATCTCCTACCCCCAGTCGGACATGTATGACCCCTGTTGCTGCAAATTTCTGGAGTCACCGCTGATCTCTGATCTTCACTGCCTGTATCAATTAACATTTTCAACAAGGCTTTAAACGACTCAGTGTTTCAGTAGGAATATCCTGGTGGAAAGCCTGTGAAACATTTAATATTGGTTAAATATAAATAGATGAACTCACAATGCAGTGTTTCCAACAGAATCTTGCAGGCCAATTTGGCAGTGACTATCAACAAATAGCTTAAGTATTTTGAAGTTGCCTTTGGAAGCTGCTCTGTGAAGAGGCGTTGATCCCATATGGTCACCCTGGTCAGGGTCTGCTCCATTCTCTAGCAGGATTTTGGCAATCTGAAGCAAGAGATTTAAAAAAAAATCAATTCCATGGATGTGTATTTATTTACCATATTAGATTATCACTCGGGAATAAAAAAAAAAAATTTGCCACATCAATTATTTCAACAGCATAAAAATAACTATGCAATTTTGTGACTTTAAATACATTTTCTTTAAAAAACTATAAAATTAAACCAGTTTTTATACAATATTTACTATTACAGACCAAATTTAAACAGTCCCTCCCTCATTGATAAAAACAAAAGCGAAATAATTTATTGTTCGGATTAAAAAAAAAAACAAAAAAAACCCGTCCTTCCTCATCAATTTAAAAAAAAAAAACAAGTGATAATCTAATAATTTTAATTTTTTCTATGTGCCCCTAATGATGTTCGACTGTGTAATCAAGGACTGACAGGGGGAGAGGGATACATTAAAATACAAACCAAATGAGTCAATCTGTGTCTGATGGAGTGTTAATAGAATATTGGAACATTTTTACTTTTAAATAAGCACTTTTATGTTGTGACAAAAGTTTTATACCACAGAGAACATCAAATATATTTCTAAAGCCCTGCACAGACTATCAAATTTTATTTGACAACATGTTACAATCCTAAATATGGTCATGATGACATCATGACTAGGCTATATATGGGTATATATCATGACTATATATGGGCATACAAAAGTGTTCTGTCAAAGAAAATTTGATAATCTGGACAGAGCGTCGGAGGGAGAGAGATTTTAATTTAATTTCTTTTTTGTCTGTGTTCTCAGCAATATTGGATCTGATATGGCTATGAATTACATTTCTGCACTGTTGTTGATCCTGAGAATGTTGAACATTAATTACTGTACCTCAAACCAATCTTTGGATGCCGCATAATGAAGTGGAATTTGTCGTGTTTGGTTTGTTGCATTCACAGCTGCTCCGCTCTTTAGTAGAATCTCAACAATTTCCTGCCTTCCAGATGATGATGCTATGTGTAACGGCGTCCAATCAGACTTCAGAAAGTGACCAAATTTAAACAGTCCCTCCCTCATCGATAAAAACAAAAGCGAAATAATCTATTGTTCCGATTAAAACAAAAAACAACAAAAAAAACGTCCTTCCTCATCAATTTAAAAAAAAAAAAACAAGTGATAATAATTTTAATTTTTTCTATGTGCCCCTAATGATGTTCGACTGTGTAATCAAGGACTGACAGGGGGAGAGGGATACATTAAAATACAAACCAAATGAGTCAATCTGTGTCTGATGGAGTGTTAATAGAATATTGGAACATTTTTACTTTTAAATAAGCACTTTTATGTTGTGACAAAAGTTTTATACCACAGAGAACATCAAATATATTTCTAAAGCCCTGCACAGACTATCAAATTTTATTTGACAACAACATGTTACAATCCTAAATATGGTCATGATGACATCATGACTAGGCTATATATGGGTATATATCATGACTATATATGGGCATACAAAAGTGTTCTGTCAAAGAAAATTTGATAATCTGGACAGAGCGTCGGAGGGAGAGAGATTTTAATTTAATTTCTTTTTTGTCTGTGTTCTCAGCAATATTGGATCTGATATGGCTATGAATTACATTTCTGCACTGTTGTTGATCCTGAGAATGTTGAACATTAATTACTGTACCTCAAACCAATCTTTGGATGCCGCATAATGAAGTGGAATTTGTCGTGTTTGGTTTGTTGCATTCACAGCTGCTCCGCTCTTTAGTAGAATCTCAACAATTTCCTGCCTTCCAGATGATGATGCTATGTGTAACGGCGTCCAATCAGACTTCAGAAAGTAAAAAAAACCCATGTTTAAATACTTAATTTAAAAAATGAATGATAATGGCTGCCAAAAAAATTGTGTGTATGGATGGTAGACGGACAATGTAGCTCACCTCATCTGCCACATTGACTGATGCCCCCTTCTCCAACAAATAAGTTACTATGGAAACATGACCAGCTGATGATGCCCAGTGTAATGGAGTGCGGTGGACCTTTTTAGGAATAAAAGTGGAATTAAATGCTGATAATTGTTATCGTTTAGATACTGCATGACTACAATTATTGAAAACATGGAAAAAAAAAATCTTAATTAAATCAGACCATGAAGTCCAAACCAGGGACTTAAAGGCAATTTTATACTAGGCCTAGGCCTATGCTAAGCTAAGCTAGGATACTAGGCCTACTACTAGCCTACCTAACTAGCAGTACTTATAATATCTCTTTAATATACTGTAATATACTTTCCCCGGTTCCAAACCTACCCGGCCCCTGACTGCAAAACCCCAGAGTACTACTAGGCCTATGCTACAGTACTGAGTACTTCACTGTGGTGTAGCCTAGGCTAGCTGTCCTGTTTTTGTAAAAGCAGGTTAATCAATTTCTTTCACCTGGTCAACCTTTGATATCAATGATGGATCTTCTTCAATTTTCGATGTCAACAACTGAAGATCACCGTCATATGCTAATCTACATGATTCGAGATTAGACATTCTGAGAATATTAAATTGAAGAATAACAAAATGTTCCCAAAAGTACCGGTTACTCTGCAGCGTCAGTCTGCTAGAATAAATAATCTAAAAGTCTTTATAGTTAACTTTTAAACCTCTATATATTATTATTTAAAATATTTAAGTTCTATAAGAATATCTAAATTTGAGAATGCGCATATTTATTTGTATATTTATGTGGTTATATAAAATGATTTATATTATATTACGATTTTAAAAACAGATTTGAAAACAACTTTCCGGCGATAAACCAAACGTCACTATTCATCGTCAACTCGCGTTCAACAATACGTCAACTCATCATCATCATTTACTTTCTGCCTACTGGCAGGTTCACAGCAGTTTATTAATTCCTCCAATTTCCTCTTTCATTTCATGATGGCATAGCTTTCATCTGTTTCCTTCAGGTCATCTAAAAACATTACTCTCTTTTTTTTTAAAACTGCTTTACAATGATCAAAACATAAATAAAGGGATCAACATGTTAATAACTTATGAATGAGACCGTGGATGAGACAACATTCAGGTTTCATTTTTAAACTACAAAACCGTATTTTAGTTGATTACCAACCCGGAATGTAACTTCGAAGCAATATTAACAGTTCCAATACGTCCCATTTAAATATATTATATTTTATTGATTTTTTTTATGATTAAGTAATTATTGTATATGTGTTTGAATAAATATATAGCCTAAATGAAATTATTTGGGGACGTTAATTTCTTCATCAATTTTTTATTTTCAATTTGATATTATGAACTGGAATTTAATTTTCACCTTCATCTTTCATTGATTTAGTAGCAAGCGTTACATTACAAGTTGCTCGCTGCATGTGATCAAAAGATAATAACATGCATTTGTGATTGTATTACCATACAAACTTACTAGTGACATTTTTCATTTCTAAAATCCCTCGTTGGGATCAAAGAATATTACAGAACAATTTATAAACACTGATCATTATGTATAAAATTAAATTATCATACCAAGGAGTTGTTAGAAACAACTCCTTGATCATACTAAGAATTAACAATATTTTAAAAAATGTGCTTACAACATCAACTTTTAATTATGCAGAATAAATTTAGTGGCATTTAAAGACGTTACTTTGAGTTTCAGCAATTAAACCAAACAATAATTACCAAGAATGAATTAATAACAAATCAGCAGTCAGTATTAAATGGAAAATGTTATACTATTGAAACCAAATTGAAAGAGAATGTTTAAATATTCATTAGAAACCTTCCCGAACGATCAATCTGAAGAAAATGTGTTGACGCGAGCTTACATGTGTTGACGCGAGTTGACGGTAATTTTTGTTACCGCTCTTCGCTCTTCCGTAATTCATGTACAGTAAAAGAAACGTGCGCTAACCAACCATCTGGCTCGAAGTGAGAGAGGGGAGTGGAGAAAAAAGTCGAAAATGACGAATTTTGCAACAGTGCAAAACCCTGAAGACCCTAATAATGAAGTAGTGGAAGAGCCTGACTTCGATGATCCGGAAGGCTTTGTAGATGATGTTACTGATGAGGGTAAATAATGAATTGTCTAGGCCTAGGCTAGGCTACTTTACTTAGTTTAGCATCAACTATCAAGTGTAGCATTTTCCAGGCGATGACGGTGCCCTGGTCACCTTTTCACCGGCAAGGCCTAGGCCTATTCTAGTATTGTACTATTCGAGTCAACAACCTACATATCTTAAGTACTAGCTAGGTTAGATGAAGATGGGCCTAGGTCTAGTAGGACTAGATTAACCATAATTGGTCCATAACATATATAAGGGTAAGGGCCTAGGCCTAGTTTAGATATGCCTCTTTATTATGGAGCAGTAAGTATGGGGGCGGGGGGAAAGTGGTGGGCATTTGCCCACCTGTTGGACAGGCCTGCCTGGACCCCTATCGTCAGAAGAATGACTAGGTCGTCGGACCAAAAATTTAAAAAACAATAATTTGCCAATCCAAATAATGCTATTTTGATTACCAATCCCTAATATTGTGGTTTAAATTTAAAAAAGCACATTTTTAGGATCAAATTAAATTAAGATATAAAAATTCTCCCCATGAACAGGAATTCTTTTATTTCGGGCCGTCATCGCCTTGATTCAGACCCCTCCGTCGGACACGTTGGACCCCTTGTCAGCAAATTCCTGGCGCCACTGAGCGCTGCAATGAATTTACGTATTGTACGTACCTCGTAGGTCCTGTTTTTCCAAATTGGTGTGGTGATGTAGGCCTAGCCTAGGCCTAGTATGTATAGTAATCCTGCTTTCGTAGAGAACAATAATGGTTAGCCAATGAGAGAATAAGTTTTTACAGTAACTACATGCATCTGTTATTCCTGTCCACAGAGCTGCTGGAGGATCTGTTGAAGGACAAACCCAAAGAGGCTGATGGGATTGATTCTGTAGTTGTAGTTGACAATGTTCCTTCGGTCGGACCTGAACGTTTAGAAAAACTTAAAAATGTCATCAACAAAATATTCTCCAAATTTGGTCAAATTGTCTCTGATCATTATCCAACTGAAAATGGTAAAACCACTGGGTAAGTAAAAATTCATAAAAAAAAGAATATTTTACAATATTTTTTATTTATAAATAATAATAGCATAATAAGCTTGGTAAGTATATAGTGAAACTCTTTTTAAAATTTTAACAGTATCAGTAATATACAGTAATAATTTTTAAATATCTAAAAAAACACCCTGCATGAATTCAACAGTAATGCATGTTTGTGTTATTAAATTATACGAAGTGTGTCTATGCTTACGCCGAGTCGTAAGCATTAGTCATAGGCTATGCTTACGCCGATCTATTGAGCATGCGCAGGGCTGGCGTAAGCATTTTTTCGAGGCTATGCTTACGCCGATCTATTACTCGTTGATCTGCTTACTATTCCACGTTGTCGAGGCATGAGCTTTGTCTAGTCCACAGTTTTCCAAAAGAACAGGCATCGTCATGAACTGAGGCAGACATATTAGTACATTCCCACACGAGGACCCAATTCTAGGTTACCTAGTTTCTGTAGCACTTGCCTATTTAGCCTGCCTTAATTCACTTTACTCAAGTACTCCATATCATCCTTGTGTAAAAATATTTGACCTGTGCCAAGCTCTTGTAC